GGGGGGGGGTTCCGTCTGAGGTTTCATCTTGTCATGTTGCCTACCAGAGACAGTTTGGGATTGTAGAATTCTGTGCTAGGCCTACGGCCTTCATTGTTGGTTCGCGTGGGGTGTCCCGTTCTTTGTTTCGCTGGATCACCAACAACTTTCTCAGCTGGGGAGGTGTTATGTTTAATTGGTCTGTGTGCTGTGCACAGCAGCAGGATTATTCCGCTAAAACCGACTCGCGTGACTGTCTGATTGCGCAATAGCAGTATTTTATTTACAAAGATAAAGAAGGGAAAAAATAGAGTTTTAGAATAGTGTCTTTATAGCAGACTTCTCGTTGTTTCAGGACTCGTTATAAGACACTGTATTTATTTTAATGATCCTGTGTATGCATCCAAAGGGCGTTTTTTATATAGACAGATCTAAGACCCAATGAGAAAAACTTGTTTTCTCTTACTGGGTTCAGATTTTTGAAAGGCCTGCAGAAGTGCCATGCAAAGATTCGTGGGTATGGGTAAATTCCTCGAAGCTAGAAATTTTTTTTTTAGGAATCGAGGCGCTTATATTTGCAACGCCGCATTCAGAATAGCTCCCGCGCTATTTGAAAAGCCGCGTTCTGAATAGCTCCCTTGCTTTTTGAATGATACGCCAGTGCTAGAATCTAGATCTGTATTCTAAATCTAGTAGCCATCGTTTCTACATGATAATATTGTAATTCTGCCTGAATTGTGGAAGCTTTCTCAGTTTCTTGTCAAAACTCCTAGGATTTGACTCCTTTTTATGACGTTGTCATCTACACAGTAGAAATAAAAAGGCTCAGCGAACATTGTAACTTCGGCGATCATCTGGATCAGTCATTGTGACACAGGCTTGTCTGTGGTCTACGGGACACAACAATTCAAAAACGCCTTCTCCTAGAAGAAAACCTTACTTTCAAGACAGCATATGACAAAGCGGTTGCTCTTGAAATGGCCAGTCGGGATGCAAACGAGCTGCCCACGTCCTCAGCAGGATCCAGCACATCGACACATGTGCATGCAGTTCAAAACTACAAACCAACACGGAAGTATCCCCCATGTCAACCTTGTTGGAAAACAAATCCTGCAAGATCTGACTGCTACTTTCGCGAGGCAAAGTGTAACATGTGTCACAAAAGTGGACACATTCAGTCAGTTTGCAGGTTATCCAAACCCAAAGGCAAACCAAACCCAAAACCCAAAACCTGCATTTCGGCCTCACAATAGTCAACAGAAGCGACATCAGCCGAGAAAGGTACATCAGCTAGACGAAGACACTGAAACAGTGGACTTCTTCAGCATTCACCAGTACAATGGCTCGCCCAGTAAAATTTGGATCCACCCCTTCGTCAAAGCAAAGCAAATCCCCATGGAATTGGACACTGGCTCCAGTCTGAGCATCATGTCAATGCAGGACTACTGCAAATTGTTCGACACTTCATACCTGCAACACTGTACTTTAAACTTACACAGGGGAGCAAGTGCGGCCGCTGGGAGTTGCTGAGGTGCTGGTAAAAATGGATAATGTCGAGAAGAAGCTGCCCTTGTGCATTCTTCAAAAAGGCAGCAATCCATTATTTGGACGAAACTGGCTGCAAAAGTTCCAGCTTTAGTGGCATGCTCTTAAACAGATTCAGCAAGCATTAATTCCTGCCTCTACTTCTCAAGATTCGCAAACCGAATAGCAAGAGTTGCTGACCACGCACAAAGAGGTCTTCACTGAAGGGATGGGAACAGCAAAAAGCCACCAAGCAAGACTCACTATCCAACACCAGGCCCCACCAAAGTTCCTGAAGGCGAGACCCGTGCCCTACGCTCTCACAAAGAAGGTCGAGAAAGAACTGGAAAAACTGGAATCAGCTGGGATTCTGACAAAGACCACCCATTCCGAGTGGGCAAATCCAATAGTTCCAGTTCTCAAACGCTCTGGGGATGTACGTATCTGCGGTGATTTCAAAATCACAATCAACCCAGTCCTTGAGGCAGAACAATACACCCTCCCAAGGATTGAAGATCTCTTCGCCCAACCAGGAGCAGGAGAAAAATTCTCGCGTCTTTGCCAGGCCTATCTTCAGCCTCCCTTTGATGAGTCATCCAGACCTCTCACCACCATTAACACGCACAAAGGACTATATGTTTTCAACCGTTTGGTCTTTGGCATCACGTCATCGCCTGCTATCTGGCAACGCACAATTGACCAAATACATGTACTCCAAGGTGCAGAAGGTGTCCAGTGCAACCAGGACGACATGATCATCACAGGCGAAAACGATAAGAAGCACCTGGAAAATCTTGCAGAAGTAATAAAAAGGCTGGAAGATAACGGTCTAAAGGCCGACCAGGATAAATGTAAATTCTTTCAAGAAGAAGTCGTCTTCTGCGGGTTCAAAATCAACAAACATGGACTCAACAAAACCCAAGAAAGTGTTGATGCCATAGTCAATGCCCCAATTCCTGAGAACAAAACCCAGCTCAGGTCATTTCTGGGACCACTCAACTACTACCACAAGTTCCTCAAGAACATTGCCCTCATCGCAAAGCCACTCCACGAGCTGTTGCAAAACAACACGCCTTTCGTCTGGTCTACCGAGTGCAGCAGAGCATTTCAGCAGGCAAAAGACATGATTGCATCAGAGGAAGTACTGGTCCGCTACAAGCCAGACCTTCCTCTCAGTAGTCGCAGACTGGCCTGTGATGCTTCACCCTACGGCATAGGTGCTGTGCTGTCACACATTACAGAGGACATTGAAGAACGTCCAATAGCGTATGCCTCTCGAAATCTGATTCGAATTACTCCCAAATAGACAAGGAAGCTCTCGCCATTGTGTAGAGTGTCAAGAAATTCTACAACTACAACTACAACTACAACTACATATGTGGTCATCACTTTACTCTCATCACAGATCACCAACCGCTGAAGTTCATTTTCGGGCCGAACACAGGCATTCCAGCTACATCGGCAGCACGCCAGCAACGCTGCGCTGCATTCCTATCAGGATTCAACTACACCATCGAATACAGGAACTCCAAAAGCAATGCCAACGCAGACACTCTGTCAAGACTTTCATTATCTGTGAGAAGCACAGATGACGGCGAAATGGAAGAGATGTATTACATGTATAATGAAATCCTTACAGGACTGCCAATCAGTGCATCGGACATTAACAAGGCCTCAAGAACTGACACCATCTTGTCAAAGGTCATCCACTTCACACAAAACGGTTGGCCTCAACAAGTTCCAAGTGAAATGAAGCCGTATATATATGAACAGACAAGATGAACTCGGCGTCCACCAAGGATGCTTAATGTGGGGTTCACGAGTGTGGGATTCACGGGCTATTGTTCCCAAGAGTCTTCAGACATCAGTCCTTCAACAACTGCATGAAGGTCATCTAGGCATAGTCAAGATGAAGAACATGACTCGTGGATACTTCTGGTGGCCAGGACTGGACAAGGACATAGAGCAAATGACCAAAGGCTGTACTGGCTGCATGTAGTCACAACCAGACCCACAAAGTTCATCACAGCACCCATGGACGTTTCCAGAAAAACCATGGCAACGCATACACACAGACTATGCAGGTCCATTTATGAATTGTATGGTCCTGATAGTCATTGATGCGCACACAAAATGGGCTAAAGAGATACCCACAACTTCGACTACCTCCAGCGCTACAATAGATGTTCTGACCACAAGTTTCGCAAGGTTTGGACTTCCGACCCAACTCGTCAGTGACAACGGTCCGCAATTTACCTCTGAAGAGTTCAAAAGCTTCCTGCGACACAACGGCATAAAGCACATCACAAGTGCCCCGTACCATCCTTTAACAAACGGCATCGAAGAACGTTTTGTTCAAGTCTTCAAAAATGCATTGAAATCTGCGAAATCGGACGGAGGCTCACTGCACATATGAAACTTTCACGTTTTCTGATGGCATACCGAAATTCTGCACGCGCCACAACAGGAGAGTCACCAGCAAAACTTCTTCTGGGCAGAAACACTCGTTCACGTCTCGATATCCTGAAACCATGTCTCTTCGACAGAGTTCTTCAGAAGCAGAGCGAGGGTGTGATGTAATCTAATTTTGGCCCCAATAGTCCATTCTGGCATATTGCGGAAAACCCGCTAAAAACGTTAATGTTAACTGACTACTATTGTATGACTGCACAAGAATAAACATAAAATGATAAAACTGATCGCAGCCTTCGCCTTCTTAACCAATTCTCTCATCTCTGCGTACTTAAGACTTAATACACCACAACTTCCTTTTTTTTTAAACACGGTACATGTATGACGAAAGTGAACACGCCATAGTTATACAATATTATTTACTCTCGCGTTCACTGCACCACCGTGAGCGCATTGCGTCATCTGGCAGGATGGCTCTCGTACTCCCGGAGGTCCGTACTTTCACAACATTTGATTGCGACGCCTTTCACTCGGGTTTCCTGCTGACTCTCAAGATGCCGGTGATGAAAAAAGTCCAACAACTTTTGATGTCTTGCTTTGGGGGCAAGATGGCCGCTACAGAAAAAAAAAGAAAGAAAAGTCAAAATTCGACAGAGGCCTTGGATCAAAATGCTTGCCACTCCGGAAGTAGGTCTCTGCAAGTGGAAGAGACCAGTGGCAATGCTTACAAAGAGGCCTCGCCTACAGCTGAACCGGCCGCCGTAGTCTTCGAAACAACATACACGCCTGTCATTCCATTGACACCGCGTGGTTTCGTAGACTTGTCCTATGGCGGCACCAGCTGGGCTGACAGTGAAGAAGACCTCGAAATAATATCTTTGAGGTCAGAACAATTCACTGTTTCTCCCATACAGGAAGAGGAGCACGATAAAATCAGAATGCTCCATGTATGGGACCCTCGAATTTTCCATTTAATGCCAACCCCTACGGAGGAGGAAATCGAGGAGATGTTTCCTTGTGTTGACTCGTCTCTTTCTGAATCATCGGCCGACTACCCGCCGCAAGAAGAAGATATTGAGGCACAAGTACTGGCCGCCGTAGTGGCGCTCTTCACATCCATGGAGAGCGCCGAGGGCGCAGCGGTGTGAAGCAGGTGAAACGATCCTGAAAGCTGAAGCCTGCGTCGAGTGGTCTTCAATAGTATCTTATCCTGATAGATTTTTTGTTGCAGAACGTCATTCTCTTTCTTTTCCGCCCACGACCACAAGATCGACCCGTGCTTCTCCTGGAAGGAAAATGGAAACCTGTTTCAGCAAGAAAAAACAATCTTAACATTTTTTTACTAGGCCCTTTTAAGGGCCACCAAAAAAATTAAATCTGTT